CTTACTCTTTGGAATTAAAACTGTGTGCGTACGTAGAAAGGAGGGGGGCAGCGTATTTGATTGGTATACCTCTCGAAATAGTACTTGCAAAATTGGGCAAATTACATTTTTATGCATTTTATAAAACTCAGAAATAATGCCATCGGGGCCGGGAGTCTTTCCGTTAGGAAGGCCATCGACTGCATTTTCTATTTCTGCCAGACTAATGGGGTCTTCAAGATCCTTTATCTGTTGTTCGTCTAGACGCGGGAGCAGGGATATCAGCCTGGTGAGGCATTTGGTGTCTTTTATATCTTCGTTTTCCCCAAAGAGTGAACGGTAGTGTTCGACGAACACGCGCTGAATCTCCTGTTTATCTGTAACTATTTTATTGTTATGCTCTATTTCTAAAATTTCCTTCGTCACGGCGTGGCGTTTTTCGTCTGCCATTGCTTTTTTTGTGGGTTGCTCTCCTAGGAGATATCTTTCCGCTCGGGAGCGCTCGACCGCGCCTTGATATTGCTCTTGATATAGGCTGTCTAACTGAGCCTTTACATAGTTTATATCTTTTGCTCCCTGTCCTGGGTTTATAAATTCAAGCTCGTGCAAAAGACGCAAATCATTCAGTAGCTTTTTTTCTTCTTTATGTTTTTGGAAACTAATTATTGTCGATCTTTCTATTGCCAGTTGCTTCAATTCCTCCTTGAAGCGCTCCCACGCCGCAGTAACGTGCTGGTTCTGGCTAGCTACTTGTTTAAGCAGTTGTCTCGTGTCATTTGTAAACGTTTCATCTTTAAGCAGCTGAGAATTAAGCTTCCATAGCTTCCAATTGATGCGTTTCTGTTTTCAAGATTTCTGGCCTATTGTTATGGCAACCATGCAGTGGTCTGTAAAATAAACTGGTTCTACAGCGTAACTGTTTAATTCGTTCATGAGTTCTAAAGAACAATAAATCCTATCCAGACGGGCGTGTGATGCTTGCTGGAAATGTGTAAAATAAATGGTGCGTTCTCGCGACTGGAATTCCGCCACGTCGGTCAAGTCGCACTCTTCAATTAAGTCCAGTAACAAATGCTCGCTTTTGTCGAGACGCGTTCTAGCGGGAATCCTGTCCTCAGTTTTCCCGACACAGTTAAAGTCACCAGGCATGATGACTTTCCGATCACAAAGTGCATGGGAACGCAAGTGGTTAAAACAAGTAACTCGATCATTGACGTCGTTAGGGGCATAGACACAAATCACCCTCCACTCTGTATTTGAGGCGGTAAAATCACACATGACAAATCTGCCAGAAAGGTCGCTCGTTACCGCTAATTGGAACAGTTCAATGGACTTTTTAATTAACAAAAAACACCCTCCTGAAAACCCAACGGCGTGACTTACACACACATCATACTTATTCAAAATTAAAGGTAATGCCTGCTCCACCTGCTCTTCACTCGATAATTTTGTTTCTTGAATCGCCAAAATGTCAATTTCTCTATCCTCCAGTAAACGATGCAACTGGTATTGGAGCTACGAGCACATTGCTTCCTAGAGGCCTTAACTCTTCGTAGTTGTCCGTGTGTGCAATTCAGATCACGTGATTTCCCGCGCGCTACTCGAGTTTTGTAATGCGGTTAAAAAAAACAGGATGCGTCGTTACCGCAGGTCATCTGTTCATGGTCGTGTGACGTTGATCGTCTTGCAGTATAGAGGTTTTTTGCGCGACACAGGGGACAATTACAAGCGAGTAGACACGGACAAGCGCTTGTCCGTGTCTACTCGCTTGTAATTGTCCCCTGTGTCGCGCAAAAAACCTCTATACTGCATCATGAACCAACTAGGCCAACAACAAGTTTTAATTGATCGTCTTGTTTCGTCACCACGGCTCCCATCACGTGATATTAACCACGTGATTTTCCCCGGGTTCGTGCCTCCTCGTAACACAGGGTTCGAGTTGCGTCCGACAGAGGGCGCTCACGTGATTTCACACAGGGTTCGAGTTGCGTCCGACAGAGGGCGCTCACGTGATGTCACATGATGGTCACGTGACATTATTTGAATCGCTGCGCGGTAAACGACTTTTATTCGCTAAAAAAAAGGCTCTGCGGCGGCTGGGGAACGACCTCGCTACCTTGTACACAGGAGCCCGACACTCTACCCCCCGAGCTAGAAGCACATTGCTTCCTAGAGGGCTTAACTATTCGTAGTTGTCCGTGTGTGTGCAAATCAGATCACGTGTTTTCCTGGCACTTGGCTTTTGTAATACGGTTAAAAAAACAGGATGCGTGATTGCCGCAGGTCATGTGTCCATGGTCGCGTGACGTAACTTTGCACAGTCCCAGCCAATTGTGATGTATCCGACACCTAGCGTTAAAACTTTGAACTGGTCGAAGATCATTTTAAAATTCAATGAGATGAAGATATCATTTCCTCTTCTCGATTTTGCGCGATCACAGTTTACATCTGGGATTTAGGTGTACGAGTTGTCAGCTCCGTTCATAGATGGTGCGAGATTCTGTTGCTAAGCGTCTTCGTTGTTAGGGCATGAGGGACATCTGGCGGCGTGGGTGTGACCTTGCGCCATCTGTTGCTGAAAAGTTAAATTGCTCGTCTTGCTAAGGCGTGCTCATCCGTATTTTCGCGCGCGCGCAAGTACGGGCTTTGTGAATTGCCGATTCCGTTTGTAGATGGCGCGCACCTGAATCCCTTGGCTGGCATGAACCATTATCACGCGAAATGTTTCCATAATTTTAGCGCCAGCTTGGTAGATGGCGTCAACTGTATCGCGCGCGCCATATCTCTTGCTAATTTTTATCGTCATCTGCAGCTGCTGAACGGAGCAGTGTGGGAAAATGGAACGGAGCGTGACCGCATCCATGCGCGCTAAAATGAGACAGATGTGGTGTTTCATTTTTTTTTTTATTCTCATAAGCTCTAAAGACAGCCACACTTCTAAATACAGATACGGCACCTAATTTTTTTTTTTCACTCTACGCAACAAAGATGTGATTGGAAATGCTTTACACCAAAAAGTGTACAACAGAAGCACAGTTTCGAGACACATCCGAGGCAAAAAAAAAAGTTTTGAAATGACATCTCACGAGCAACGCGCGCGCGATCCTCGCATCGCAGATAACTCCTTGACGATGTCGATCACAAATATTTTACAATAAAAGGGACCACGAGACAAAAAAACAAAAAAAAATGGATCCTCTACATCTCGTAGACGAAGCAATGAAACACATCTTACCTATTTCTTGTGAGAAACGAGGCGAAATCACAGGTTCCCACCCGTCTTTTTTTTTTTCTAGCAAAACAGCTTCGTTGGTGTCAGGCTCCAAACCCTCAAACTTCGACTACATCCTATTAGGAATGGGTTGGGCTGCAAGATCCACGCTAGTTTCTGTGACTATCTCGACACTGGAGAGGTGCATACATAACGTACCTACTGTTAAAAGAAAAATGTGAGATAGCTCTGACTTTTTCTTCGGAGACTACCACAACTAAGAAAACCAAAATGATACGGCTCTTCACCTCGAATACACTTTCGGTTTAATTTGCATATGACGCGGTTCCGTCTAGCAGAATCCGACCTTGGAGAAATCCCGTCCGCTCGCTGCTCACGATAAATGCTCACACGCCTCGCAACAGTGCGCTTTATAGCGACGCCCGAAGGTTTACCCAAATCACAGTGTTTACCCAATGAAGGGTAACCGATAAAAAGAAAAAACGGATGCTCCCCAAGCTCGGCGCTGACCGCGCGATACAACCTAACAGGAACAAGTCTAGACATGTTTGCACGTGACTCGAGAGCTCGGAATGTGATTTTTTTATATACAAATTAAATACGTTGTGTTAACGCGCCGCTCGTTCGCTTTTGTGTTTGTCTCCTGTTTTTTTTGTTGTTTTTTTTATAAATGCTCAAACGCGTCGCAACAGTGCGGTTTATAGCGACGCCCGAAGGTATACTCAAATCACAGTGTTTACCCAATGAAGGGTAACCGATAAAAAGAAAAAGCGGATGCTCCCCAAGCTCGGAGCTGACCGCGCGTTACAACCTAACAGGAACAAGTCTAGACCACTGGTCTAGACATGTTTGCACGTGACTCGAGAGCTCGGAATGTGATTTTTTTTTATATACAAATTAAATACGTTATGTTAACGCGCCGCTCGTTCGCTTTTATGTTTCAGTCTCCTGTTTTTCTTTTCTTTTCATATATAGTGACGCACGTGTTGATTCACGGCGAGTCGTCATTTCGCAATCCGCTTGATATAAATGTCGAGGGTTCATCCGCGCTTGTCTCTGCTTCACTGCTGCCTCTCCGCCGAAGACTGAGGTAATGCGAGAAAGAAGGCCCCACAGGTCCGCCGTGTACTAACGTGATTATTCTGCAGACCTGTCATCTCACCTCGAGCCATCGGCGCCGCCCTCTCCCCGGTCAATCCGAAATGGACGGGATCCTGAACAAGCTGTCTTCACTGCGAGCGTCGTCATCGTCTTTGTCTGTCAGCATGAGCTCCATTCCGTGCAACGTCAAGATACCCGTGCTGGAGGTGAGGCGAATGGACACCCGTTACGGGCCATCCCTTTATGTGACTCTGCAGCTGGAGAGCGATGTGGTAAAAGTATTTTTACACAAGCGGTTCGCCGAACTGAATGAGGAAGATCTCCAGAGCATGATGGCGATGAAGGGACTCACGATGAAGAAAACCATCGGTGACGAGCGGTCACCGGTCATTACTTTCTCGTGTTCTGACTAAAAAAAAAAATTGTGAGCCGCTCGGGACAACTCGAGAAAAAAAAGATGGTAACCTGCCACTTGTGTGATGCGCGAGAGCGGCAGCAGTACTCCAGCCCAGAGTCGTTACAAGTTCATCTGGCCCAGGTTCACAATATCCCGCCGCAAGATTGCCTTCCCTTCATCAACTCACTGTGCGCCTTTCGAAACTTTACCGCGCGTTATGATATGCATTTGCACGAGCGCGACGACGAGTCTCACGATGTATCCACGCTTTTTCGGCTTCAGTCCGACGCAATGGGCAATGTTTTTAGACATTATAAAATGCCATTGCGTTTTTTCATCACACTAACCGTGGAAATGACTCGTCTCAGCGGTGACGACGAATTCGAATTCAGCGTGCACTACTTTCATTGCTTAGTCCACACTGTCTGGGCCGAAGGTAGCATTCACGATGCTCTACAGACTGCATGGGCCGAGATCTCTGCTCGCCTCGAACAGTATCAAGAACGAGGATCTGGGCTTGTCGTCGTCGCCATTCAGACCTGCACCATCACCGTTGGACGTTTCATTCCGCCCACGGTAGGTTGTGCGACCTTCGTGTTGCCCGGTGAACTCCCAAGCAGACAGTGCCTAGTGAATGTGAACGAGCAACTGAACGAGTCGGAGAAAAACATGTGCTTTGTGCTTTCTGTGCTCGCCGGTCTCCATCCCGCACCCGCTAATCGATCGAGAGCTTCTTGCTATCGAGAACATTTCACCAAGTATTGGTTCCCCACCACGTATCCAGTGATATTTCCGCAAGACGTGCAGGCTTTCGAGAGGAAAAACTCCGTGTCCGTGATTGTGTACGGTTACGATCGAGAACAAAGGTACGTCTACCCGCTCAAAGTCAACGATAGCGAGCGGGAGAAGCACGTGGATTTGCTCCTAATAGACGATCACTTTGCTCTAATCACCAACTTTGCCGGACTTTTCGCGAACAGGCGCACTCACCATTTTCGCTATAAAAGGTGTATGATGGGCTTTCACTTTCGCACTGCGCTGGGAAGTCATTTATCGCTGTGTAAGGAGAAGAAGGCAGTCCGAACAGTGTGTCCTGCAAAGGGGGACGCGCTGTATTTCCGGAGCCCACACACGATGAAACCTTTCCCCTACTTTTGCGTCTACGATTTCGAGGCCATTCTGGAAGCGGAAAGCATGGGTCAGGCTTACGAGAAGCACGTCCCCAGTTCGTTTTGCACACTCGTAATCCGATCCACGGACTCGCGCATCGTCGAGCAGTTTTTGTACCGGGGCGAGGACTGCGTGGAAAAGTTCATTTCCATCCTTAATCAATTGTCCAAGCTCATTGGCGAATGGATTCGAAGCGAGGAAGTGCCACTGGTGAGCGTGAACGAAGAGGCTCACGCGTCGGCCTCTCACTGCGCGATTTGTGGCGAATCGTTTGGAAATCGAAAGAGAAAAGTGAGAGATCACGACCACTTCAGCGGATCGTACAGGCAGGCGTTGTGTCAGGGATGCAATTTAAATCTGAGAGTAAACAAGAAAGTCATTCCAGTGCTCGCGCACAACCATTCGTATGACCTTGCCTTTATACTATCCTAACTCGACTTATTCGAGTCTAAAGATATTAAAGTGCTCGCCACTAGCTGCCAGCAATTTAAGCGACTCGACGTGGGTAACCTGCGGTTTCTCGACAGTCTGGCATTTCTCCCCGCCAGCTTGGACGCGCTGGTTCAGGACCTCCGTTCCAAGAGACTAGAAAACCTGTGCTGCCTAAAGCAGGCTTTTCCGCAGCACGTTGAGCTTCTGGCGCGGAAAGGCGTATTTCCCTACGACTATGTGACCAGTTTCGAGGCTTATCGGAAGCCCGAGCTACCGCCCCGCGAGTCATTTTACAACAAGCTTAACGACAGCCAAATTTCGGAGGAGGACTACCGTCACGCCCAAACCGTCTTTCAAACATTCAATTTCAAAAGCCTAGGAGAATACAGTGACTGCTACCTGAAACTCGACTGCCTACTTCTCGCCAACGTGTTCCAAAGTTTCAGGAAATAGACTTTAGACACGTACGAGCTCGATTCGTTACACTACGTTTCCCTGCCCGCGCTCAGTCTCGCCTGCGCACTTAAACAGACTGGGGTAAAGCTGGAGCTGCTCGACGACGTGGATATGTATCTGTTCATCGAAGCTGGTCTGCGAGGAGGAATCGTTCAATGTGCCATTCGTAACACGAGGGCTAACGTGCCAGGAACCGAATGTTTCGATCCGAAAACGGCGGTTTCTCAAATTTTAGACCTCGACGTGAACGGCTTGTACGCTTCCACCATGCGACAATCCCTTCCATGCGCCGAGTTTCGCTGGCTAGACCGCGAGGAAATCGACGCTCTCCACTTCCAGCAGGTTCCCGACGACGCGCCCGAGGGTTACATTTTAGAGGTGGACCTTGACTACCCTCGGGAACTACACGATTCGCACGCGGACTTTCCCCTGGCTCCCGAGAAACGAGGAGTCCCGCTCGAATGGCTCTCACCCTGTCAAAAGGCGCTCGTCGAAAAATTTCACCTACCCCAGCGAGAGTCTGAGCGAAAACTGCTTCTCACCTTTTACCCGAAACGCAATTACATTATCCACTACCGAAATCTCAAGCTGTATCTGGAGTTGGGCTCACAGCTAAAGGCCATTCATCGCGTTTTAAAGTTTTCGCAGAGTGCATTCCTTAAAGATTTCATCGACTTTAACCACAACCTCCGAAAACAGGCGACTAATGCTTTTCAAAAGAACCTATCTAAACTCATAATGAATTCAATTTATGGCAAGACAATCGAAAACCCACGTCAGTACAACAACGTTGTCATTAGCGTGAGCGAGGACGAAGTGCTCAAAAACCTGCAGAAGCCTAACCTCAGACAGTTTGCGGCAATTAGCCCGACCGTGGTGATCTTTCAGTTTTCCCAGAGAACGCTACACTTGAACAAACCCGTGTACGCGGGTTTCTCTATCCTAGAGATGTCCAAACTGGTCATCTACGAATTTTTCTGCAAGCAGGACAGGCGCATTTTCCCCGACGCTCGCGCAGCGTACAGCGACACGGACTCGTTCATCCTCCAAATCACCAACCCGGATGTGGACTCGAAGCTCGCGACCCTTGCCGAAACTCACCTGGATACTTCTGGCTACCCGGGCGATCACCCCTTGTTCTCTCCCGCAAACAAAATGAAACTAGGAGTGTTCAAAAACGAGCTCCCAAAAGATCACATTCTTGGATTTGTTTGTCTGAAACCCAAACTCTATTCGATGGAACTAGCCTCCCGAGAGCACTACGTGAGGGCGAAAGGAGTGAAAAGGTGCGAGTCCCGTAAGCTAACCTACGAGCTGTACGTTCAAACTCTCGAGCAACAAACTCTGCACAAGATCACGCAGCGGACTATCGCACGTAAGTTGTGCGAGAACAAGACTGTTGTCGTGAAGAAGATTGGACTCAACCCGTTTGACAACAAGCGCTTCATCGACTCTGACGGCGTTTCAACTCTTCCTTTCGGACATTGGAGCCTCTTGTGAAGTGCTTTTTTTTCTTTTATTTCAAGCTGATGTATTTGTGTGTGTGTGTGTGTACACAGAGGGTATTGAATAGAGCCATTTCTATGCGGCGCGAGGTTTTTTTGTTTTTCACCAAGTGTTTGATATTTGTATAAAGAGCTGTCGCGCGCCATCTCCATGTATCGAGAATATCTTAGCCGTTCCTAATAGGATGTAGTCGAAGTTTGAGGGTTTGGAGCCTGAAACCAACGAAGCTGTTTTGCTAAAAAAAAAAAAAAAAAGACGGGTGGGAACCTGCGAATTCGCCTCGTTTCTCAAAAGAAATAGGTAAGATGTGTTTCATTGCTTCGTCTACGAGATGTTGAGGATCCATTTTTTTTTTTGTTTTTTTGTCTCGTGGTCCCTTTTATTGTAAAATATTTGTGATCGACATCGTCAAGGAGTTATCTGCGATGCGAGGATCGCGCGCGCGTTGCTCGTGAGATGTCATTTCAAAACTTTTTTGCCTCGGATGTGTCTCGAAACTGTGCTTCTGTTGTACATTTTTTGGTGTAAAGCATTTCCAATCACGTCTTTGTTGCGTAGAGTGAAAAAAAAATAAATTAAGTGCCGTATCTGTATTTAGAAGTGTGGCTGTCTTTAGAGCTTATGAGAATAAAAAAAAATGAAACACCACATCTGTCTCATTTTTAGCGCGCATGGATGCGGTCACGCTCCGTTCCATTTTCCCACACTGCTCCGTTCAGCAGCTGCAGATGACGATAAAAATTAGCCAGAGATATGGCGCGCGCGATACAGTTGACGCCATCTACCAAGCTGGCGCTAAAATTAGGGAAACATTTCGCGTGATAATGGTTCACGCCAGCCAAGGGATTCAGGTGCGCACCATCTACAAACGGAATCGGCAATTCACAAAGCCCGGACTTGCGCGCGCGCGAAAATACGGATGAGCACGCCTTAGCAAGACGAGCAATTTAACTTTTCAGCAACAGATGGCGCAAGGTCACACCCACGCCGCCAGATGTCCCTCATGCCCTAACAACGAAGACGCTTAGCAACAGAATCTCGCACCATCTATGAACGGAGCTGACAACTCGTACACCTAAATCCCAGATGTAAACTGTGTTCGCGCAAAATCGAGAAGAGGAAATGCTATCTTCATCTCATTGAATTTTAAAATAATCTTCGACCAGTTCAAAGTTTTAACGCTTGGTGTCGGATACATCACAATTGGCTGGGACTGTGCAAAGTTACGTCACGCGACCATGGACACATGACCTGCGGCAATCACGCATCCTGCTTTGTAACCGTATTACAAAAGCCAAGTGCCAGGAAAACACGTGATCTGATTTGCACACACACGGACAACTACGAATAGTTAAGCCCTCTAGGAAGCAATGTGCTTCTAGCTCGGGGGGTAGAGTGTCGGGCTCCTGTGTACAAGGTAGCGAGGTCGTTCCCCAGCCGCCGCAGAGCCTTTTTTTTAGCGAATAAAAGTCGTTTGCCGCGCAGCGATTCAAATAATGTCACGTGACCATCATGTGACATCACGTGAGCGCCCTCTGTCGGACGCAACTCGAACCCTGTGTGAAATCACGTGAGCGCCCTCTGTCGGACGCAACTCGAACCCTGTGTTACGAGGAGGCACGAACCCGGGGAAAATCACGGGGTTAATATCACGTGATGGGAGCCGTGGTGACGAAACAAGACGATCAATTAAAACTTGTTGTTGGCCTAGTTGGTTCATGATGCAGTATAGAGGTTTTTTGCGCGACACAGGGGACAATTACAAGCGAGTAGACACGGACAAGCGCTTGTCCGTGTCTACTCGCTTGTAATTGTCCCCTGTGTCGCGCAAAAAACCTCTGTACTGCAAGACGATCAACGTCACACGACCATGAACACATGACCTGCGGTAACGACGCATCCTGTTTTTTTTAACCGCATTACAAAATGGAGTAGCGCGCGGGAAATCACGTGATCTGAATTGCACACACGGACAACTACGAAGAGTTAAGCCCTCTAGGAAGCAATGTGCTCGTAGCTTTTACATTATAATCTTAAAAGCTACGAGCACTGTCTGGTGTCAACATGTATTGGGGAGAGAAAACTGTCAACTTTTCGCCCCCAATGGAAACTTTGGAAATTTAATGTCACACTCTTATCAGAGAAACGTTTCTCTATTCGCATTCCGGATATTCTCTCATCTGTGCTATGTCTCCCGATGCTTTCCATCTTTGCTAAGTGGGATATGTTTAAACAAGACGTAAAGAACTGGGCTATAGAGTATTCTAGTCTTCTTGCGTTTGAACGAAAGGAAGACCGACGAATATTGCTTAACACACTTACTACATTATATGAGCTCGAATCTTTGCGTCCAGGAACTTACACAGAGGACATTAATATAACCAAAGCACAACTACAGCGATATGATGCAGAGAATTACAGAGGAGCAGTCATTCGTCCGCGATCGGAGAGGTTTCTCCTAAAGGAACCCCCTTCGCGGCGATCTTTAAATGACGAAAGACAGTACGCGCTATCAAAACAAATCCTAGCGATTGACCTCGAGGGCACTTCCGTGTCTGATACCCCCGGCATCTTAGACGTCTTTCTTGAACATTACAACAACCTCTTCGGTAAAATAATACCAGCAGGAGACGAGACAGGCGCAGAAGAGTTGCTTTCACTTTTACCAGTCTTATCAGAGGAAGAAAGAACTATGATAGACGGTGACCTAACATTAGAAGAAGTGCGAAATGCCATAAACGCACTACCCGCGAACAAGACACCTGGTCCTGATGGTCTGGGTGCAGAGTTCTATAGGTAGTTTTCACAGACGTCACCGGAGCGATGCCTTCTGGGCCAGCAGCCATTTTGTTGTGAATGTTTTGACGTCCCTGCTCGACCGTACTGGCGACGGTCACGGCTGCTTCCGATCACGTAAACTCGATCCTTTCCGTCCTGTTCTTTATTTTGATTTTTCTCATTCTTATGTGGAATGGTACACTGCGCAGTCGTCGGCTGTGGCAGCCGATCTCACACCAAGTCAGAAAAGCTCTTCAAAAACAAACGGGACCTGCGATTTTTTAAAATACCGAAGGTTAGGCATAACGAGTGCGATAAGACCCGCCAACTTTCCGAAGAGCAGCGCTCGGAATGGATTTCACGGTTAAGAAGAGCTGACTTGGACGTCCAGAACGCCGACAAATACAAAATTTGCTCGAAGCATTTCGTCACAGGTGAGTAAATTTATGCAGCAACAGAGTGCTGTTTGTTTGCTCCTGTGAAGAGCCATCTGCGTGCCACGACGCTTTATCGCGAGCACTTAATCAACCGTCGCTCGCAAAAAATAATAATAATAATTAACATGCGTGTATGCACGTCCTTTCGGCTGTACTAAAAAGCTCAAACGGCCGCAGCAGCCAGAGAAGAAAGAAAAAAAGTAGGCTGCGGTCGCGTGATGCGCAAAGCAGTAGCCTTGCGTACACTGATTTGTTTGCTTTTCGTGATTCGCAACTGGGACATAAACGTTTATGTGCCTTTGCCCCAGGATCACCTGCAGCCTTATTTGACACCAGCAATCCCGACTGGGCGCCTTCGCTGTCCTTGGGGTACGAAAGGCGGGGCGGCGATGCCGACAGCGCTCGCTACGAACGTCGGAAGGCGCGGAACAGAGCAGGAAAAGATCGCTCAACACACAGTAAGTTGAAAAGAATTTAAAACAATTACACTCATAAAACATCCAGCTGGTGTCTCTTCAGGCACTCCAGACCAAGCAGTGGATGACTTGGATGCTTCGCCAGCTCGGGCAAGCAACCTTTATGAAGAGATGACTACTGCTGGTACGTCTTAGTTCAGCAAGTTAAATAGAATTTAAAATAATTAGCCCTCAAACATCCAGATGCTTTAATTACAGGCACTCCAGACCAAGTAGTGGACGAGGTGAATGCTTCCCCGGCTCGGGCAAGCACTTTGATGGGAGGAACAACTACTGTTGGTATGTTTTGCTCAGTTTAGCAAAGTGATGAGCCTAACTTCTGAATAATTTGTTTCAGAGCTTGGCTGTCAAACAGAGATGACAGCAGCCGACATCCAGAGCTTGGAGCAGGAGGTAACGCGGCTTAACGAGGAAGTCTACGCTCTAAGAAAAAAGGTGGAAGACAGCAGGTTTACTGCGGAAAGTTTCAAAGGAGATGACGAAAAGGTCAGCTTTTACACAGGCTTACCGGGATTCGTCATGCTAATGGGTGTTTTTAACATGCTTGAGGCCCATGTCCAGCACTCGTCACAAAACTCGCTTGGGAAGTTCGAGGAGATGATGGTATTTCTGATGAGACTGCGGCTCTACCTGTCAGTACAGGACCTAGCCTACAGGTTTCGGATCTCTGCCTCAACGGTGTCAAGGGTGTTCGAGAAGTGGTTGAATGTGTTTTACGACAGACTGTCCCCACTCATCAGATGGCCTACAACCGACCAGCTCGCGAAGACGATGCCCACCGTATTCCGAGAGAACTTCGGCACAAAGGTGACTGTGATTCTGGATTGTTTTGAGGTTTTTATTGACCGGCCGAGTTCACTCATTACAAGGGCTGCAACCTGGTCCCAATACAAGCATCATAATACTGTGAAGTTTCTGATCGGCATTTGTCCACAGGGCAGCGTAACTTTTCTTTCCAAGGCATACGGTGGAAGGGCAAGCGATAAGACTATTACAGAAGATTGTGGCTTTTTGGCACTACTAGAGTACGGAGATATGGTTTTAGCTGACCGGGGATTTTTGATTGCAGAAAGTGTCGGTATGTGTTGTGCCACCCTCCATGTACCATCCTCGGCGAGAGGGAAACGCCAGCTTGGCCATTCGGATGTAGTGTACACTAGAGAGCTAGCAAATGTTAGAATTCACGTTGAGAGAGTGATCGGGCTCGTCCGAAACAAGTTTAGCATTTTGAAAGGTCCTCTCCCTGTGGAATTTCTGAAAACGTCCGAGTCCGATTTGGCCCCAGTAGATAAAGTAGGTGCGG